AATATCTCTAAGCACTTTGAGTTTTCCCTGTATCTTTTTGACCTTTATGAAATCCACAGGGAAAGTTAAGGAAAAATAAACCACTTGGTAATAAGCCCTCAGTGGGTGTATGCAGTCTTTTAATCAAAAATGGATTCTGGGGTATTTCTGGCTTTAATTTCTTTGATAGTTTTGCTTGTGTTAGCTTAATGCTTAATATTTGAGGGACACAAAACAAAGCTCTGAGAACTCTGTCCTTGGGTGACATGGTGTTAGTAGGGAGAACGGATATGGAAGGAGAGGGTGACAGGGAATGCTTTAGGAGATGCTTGAACTCACTTGGCTACAAAAGGAGGTAAAATCTGGATGGGAGAAGCAGGTGAAGGAAAAAAAAGGACTGAGAGAGGGAAAGAGAACTGACAAGATTTTGGTGGTGAGTACCAAGTGTACAGCCCCAACGTCATCAACTGAGCCAATGGTTGATAATCACTTTTTATAGAGAATTATTGTTTTCTTCCTGATGTCCTTTCACACTGTGATTTCTGCGTGAGAGAAGGAGCAGCACAATGAATTCATCTTGGTCATGCAGGCTGAGATGAGGGAGAGCAGCATCCCAATTTCCATCAGAGACCTAAACAGCTGTTTAAATTCAAAGGTGGCAAAACTCAGCTCATTTTAGAAGCTTTATGTGAGCCATCAAGGACCCTAATTTCGATCCTCCCCATTAAATGCCAATGCAGAATGCCCCAGTGGTCCTGCAGATTGTGATTTCATTACCCTGCTGAGGGGAGCACAAGTGTAGACTGTCCCTTTTCCAAAGCATTTCCTCTTGGCTTTTCCTGCAGGGGTTTCTCCCTTGCATGAGTGGCTCTGCTGCCTGCCACGGGTTGGGAGAGTCTGTGTGGTTGATTTTCTGGGGTGTACAGAATGCTGGCCTTGCATTGCAGGTGCCCTTTGTTTGAAAGGTGGTTTGAATATTTACAGCCTTGCTGGAAGGGAAGGAATGCAGATTTCTCTTTCCAGTCACAGGAGTCCACCTGCAGTAAGAATTGCTGCCCAGGTTTTCATTCTCTGGATGTGCTCAAATTTAGAGTGAAAGGACGTGCAGGACAACCTCACCCATGTCCAGCTCTGTATTTTTGTGCCCCTCTGTAGATACACAGATAAAATAACCCCCCAAAATGAAAAGTTTTTAAAACCTCAATTGAAATATGCCCTTGCAAGGTGTTATCTGCCAATTATGCAGTATTATCTGCCAGCAGTAAATTTTAAGCATTTTCTTAGGTCAGCACTCAGCCACCACAATTTGCCATGGAGAACCTGTTTGTCTTTGCCTGTGTTGGTGTGCAGACTTCATAGGAAATTATCATTCCTAGTGGCTCCAGATAATGTGAGCTTTCCCATGGCTAAAAGAGGTTTATGATTTTCAAAAGGTCCTTGTGCTGTTTTCATCACAGCCTCAAACACTTTTTTTTCTTATTTAATGATGTAGAAAAAGTGATATAAAAAAGCCAGGCAGTGCATTTAAAATAACTTATTTTGCATCCACATTATGGAACTGACTTTAAAAACTCTTAAATCCCTCAATTTCCTCCCAAGTCCCATTTTTGTCCATGTTTCATAGTGCAGAGGGACCTCCCCTATCTCTTTTTTTCCCTAAAGAACTTTGGAACATTTGGGCTGAAAGGCTCAATTTTGAAAACTAATCCGGAAAGCCTTTTATTTCTTTATACAATTTTTTGAAAGTGAGGTGCCTGAAATCTCTAGATACATTGCTTTGACTCTTTAAAGTTTAAGTCTCAAAAAAATGAGCAAAGTTTAAAATCCTCCTTTTTTTCAGTTCAGTGTTTTGATGCAGACAGAGTTGAAAGCATTTATATTTTTAATTACCACAGCAAGCTGGTTTGCACTGGAATTTATTAAGGGTTCTCCCTTGTCTGTTACCAAGTCTCTTAGTATGCATTTCCCTGGATTTTCAACAGCCCTGCTTGGGAAAAGCTGCACACCTGTGGATCTGTACTGCTGGCAAATAGGACTTCTTTTCCTACATGCCTACAGTTAACCAAGAAAGAAATACATTAATAGAAAAGAAAGAATGAAATACATTAATTGATGTCTTATTTTAATGTTTTATAATAATAACTGAAGGTGGTCAGTTGGGACTGAAAGAGAATTGCTTTGCATCCAGGTGACTTCACTCTACACTCATGGGGTTTGTATTTGCTCAGTACAATAATGGTCACCTGAAAATGTTTCTGTTCAAAAGGAACAAACCGAGTAGAATGATGTTTGTCAATAAAAGGTGGTTTATTCTTCATCTAAAATCCCTTGCTAATTGACAGAATTGCTTCCTGGTTCTGGAGAAATACCCATTATCTCTCATGGATATTTATTTTATTGTTGTTTTGGAACGCTAAGTGGTCACATTGGGCTGATAAATTCCTGAAGCTTTGGTTGATGGAAGTGCAAATGTAGTGCTGAAACGTAAATTACAGGAAGAAACATGCCCAAAATGTCCTTTCCTTCTTCAGATGGAAACCCACACTGGCAGCTCTGAGGGATTTCCCAAGAATGTGTTCTTCCCGAATTAAATGCTGTAGTTTCTGGAATGCCACATGAAGTGGAGCTGCCAGGATTTAGGTGGTCAGGCTTCTCTAGTCCTGCATTAGAAGTAGGAGCACCAGCACTGTGTGCCCATCTCTGCCTCTGCAGAGAAAGTATCCCTCCATGTACAAAAATACACCTTTATTTTTCAGATTTGTATAATTCAATATTACCACATTTCACTCTTCACTCAGCCCTGAGAAAACAATTTTAAAATCCAAAATAAAGTTAATATTTGTCGTGAGGAACATAAGGATTCCATGGGGTTTTTCCACCAATCCTTGTTGGAAGCTGTACCATGTCCTTAATTTAAGGGAGGCTCCAGCAGCAGATCAGTTTTGGGGTGGAATATGTGAAGTTTGTGATGTATCTTTGGGTGCTTTGCAGCCAGCCTGTACATAAAGAACTCTGGGGAGTTGCCTGCATGCAGCACAAGACTTTTTCCTCTAGCACGTGGGTTTGGGGAAGCTTGGTCACTGCATTGATCTGTTCAACCACATCTTGGTGCTGATTGAGCTTAGAGCCTGAGTTGGGAAGGGCAAAGCAAGCTCTGTATCTTGAATTTAAGTCAGTTTTTTGACCTGTCATCCGTGTCTGGAACTGTAAGAGAATCTGCCTGTACACCTGTCACAAGTTTTGTTCCACTGAGACTGGACTGGTGGCTTCTCACTGAACTTAAACAGCCATGCTTGTGCCAAAAGCAGTGAGATATTTGGATTTCTTTTTCCTTTTACATGTTAATTTGGATGTCTGCTCGTCTGTGTGCTTGTTAAATATGAATCTACTGCTTGATTAAAAAATACATCATAATTGTAAAGTGTTCCCCATGGCTTGCTCACTCGTGAATGCTCGGGTTTAAATGGAGGTTTTTTTGGGTGTGCTGAATGATCTTAACCAATTACTCTGGTTTTGGGAGTGGATTTAACATGGAAAAAAATGTTAAGTGGAAGACATTTCACTGTTTTAACCGAACACTTTGAGGATTACCTCGTGCTCAGATACAAAAGGGCGTGGATAATTATTTGTGGAGATGACTTGTCTCTAAAAGAAGGTGGAGATTTGGAAAGGGATTTTTCCCTGGGTGTTCTGGTACCATGCATCACCTTTCTGGCTGAATTGGAATGTGCTGAAAGGAAGGTGGGTGTGGAAAAGGGTGGTTTGAGGTTTTAGTGAGGACTGACTTTGGGTCAATCACCTTGAACTTTTAGGGGTGACAACAGCCCACGTTGTGCTTTGTGAAATAGGTAGGTTGATTTATTTTATATTATTTTTCCTGGAGGTTAGATATCATTCCTTGCAGCAATGTTTCGTGGTGGGGAACAGCTCCTGGAAAAAGGGTGCTTTGAGCCTTTCCCACAGTGGGGTGAGCTTCCCACAAGTTCATGGAAAGCAATCAAACACAGCTCACTGGGACAGAGGAAAATGGATGGGAGAGCTGGGATTTTTTTAAGCTTCTGTTCTACTGCTGGGAACCTGAAAATCTGATTGATCAGGGCAGTTGTTACTTTCTCTTAAAATCAGGGTGAGGAATTCCCTTTTCCACAAGCTACAAGTAGCTGAGCACTGTAGTTACAGCTTGTGTTCCCTGGATTAGTGACAAGTAGATGCTGGTTTTAATATAAATAAATAACTCTTTTTTTTACTATGTTTGCTCAAAGGAAGGTGCAAATGGGTAAATGCTTCTCCCTCCCATCTGTCTTTATATTTCAGAGACCAACTAACTTAATATCCCTTTTTATTGTTAATCTGTGGATGCGCTTTCCTCTTATGAGGAATGTTTTGAGCTGTTTGATGCTGACTATGAATTTTAAGTGCAGCAAAGAAACCCATAAAAATTAATAAACCACCTTCTGGAACTTTCTCATGGGATTCTTCAAGCAAGATGCCAATAGCTAGATTATGATCAATGCTGCCCAAGAGAGGCAATCAGAGGGAGAGGCAATAAATCACAGGAGCAGGTGAGATGCTGCTGGCAACACCTCCAGCAGCAGTCACAGGGAGCTGCTTTCTCCCCATATCCTGCCTCTGGTTCAAAGGAAAACCAGATGTTTGTTCTTCACATCAGCATCAATGTTATTTTTTGCTTTGGATTCATCTTGATGGAAATGGAAGCAAAACCATTTTTAGAGGAAATGATATTTCAGCCTGGTACCCCATAAGCATAACTGGCTGTTATCTTGCATCAAATGAAGGCCATTAGCATGTTGTCTGCTGGTAGTGACTCGCCTCTTACTAAATTCCTGGTGCTCTCCAGGTGGTAAAGGCACAGTTTTATGTGCCTTTACCACCTGGAGAAACAAGAACAATTAAAGAACAATTTTATGTGATCAATAGAACTGAAGTCTTTTTCCCTGGAAACTTTTTTTTTGTGATCTATATGATTATTTTTGTCTCTTTTCTTGTGGTTTCCAAGCCAGATACAGGTTAAGTTTTCATCTAAATTATTAGCTGAGCTCATCCCCACCCTGCAATCACAAATAATGGTGAGTTCTCTCTCAAAAAAAAAAACAAAAAAAACAAAAAACAAAAACTTGAGGTGGATGAGAGACATCAGCTGCAGAGAGTGGAGAAGCTATGAGCTAACACTTGCTGGGATATCTCCATAGGCTTCCAGTCACAGCAACCACCTGGTTGCTCCAAACTTTCCTTGCTCTTGGCAAGCCTAACCATTCAACTTGATGTGATGTTTTGCCTGCTTGTTTTATTGTTGGTTAACCAGTTTTCTTTCCTTTATCTTGTATATGGTGGGATCTCCGCTAGACAGAGGTAACGGTGGGGGACAGTTGTGTAGCTGGACCCTCTTGTGGTGGTGTTTGTTGGTGGTTTTTCCTAAAACCATTCCTAAATCCAGCCTTGCTTTCACCGTGCCTGCGTGTGCTTGCATGGCCTGGTTTCCATGGAATAACCTCACCCACCCCTACTCTCCTTTGTATTCATTTAATTCTCCTCTGTGTGTGTGCCTCCTCCTACTGTGTCCTTAAAGTGGGTCACCAGTGTGGATTCCCTAACAGTTTTATGGATCCTTTTCAGCCTTTGGGAGTTCTGCAGATCAAAGGGACTCGAATTTTTAGCTTAGTAAGATATTGTGAGCTGATAAATGGAAAAGAATTGGAGCAAGAGGGGGATTGAGTTTGGTTTCAGGCCCAGTCCTCTCTTTGAGCTCACACACACACACGTACAATTTGGATGACTTTGATCAGACTTTATATTCATGTCAAATAGTCCTTTCTTGGCTCTTTTCTACAACAGAGTCTAACTAAAAAGCTGTCAGTGAATACAATTTCCTCTTTAAATCCTGTATTAAAGTCTGAGTTTTTTACCACTAATGTCAAAGATTTTAAGCAAACTGGCCATAGTTTTATTTATGTTTATTTCAGCTGGGCTGAACCAACACCGAAATCCCATGCAATTCCTTATCCTCATTTGGAATGGGGAAGCACTGATCTTTGCAGAACTTCTCTGATCAGATCCAAAGGCTGGGAAAGGTCCACTGGATATGGATGGAGACAGTAGGGTTGTGTGTGTCCATGGAATGGCTTGTTGGTGCTAAGGATACAAATGAAGCCTTCCATTTCTGTGTTTAATCTGGTGCTTTGTGTGCTCTCTTTGGGCTGTGGCTCGGGTGGATGACAGAAGTTGTCCCAGGAGAGGGAGAAGTTTGCTGACGAGGACAGCATTTTCTACGCGCTCGGAGAATGCGGACTCATCTCTTTCTCCGACTACATCTTCCTCACCACCGTCCTTTCCAGTAAGTACAGCAGGGATTTTCTCTGCGATTCCTGCTTTTTTGAAGTTTTCAGGTTTCACAAGTAGTAGCTTGTTGGCATGCATTTCCCTAAAAGGCCTTCTTGGTTGCCTGCAACTTGAGCTGAGCAATTGCTGTTGCTCGATCTGGTTTAGCCTGAGCTTCCAGTGCTTTGAAAAGACAAGCTGATTGATGACTTCTGAAGATTTATTTCTCATTTTGAAATGTGACAAATTTTTTTTTAATGAGTCACTTGACCTGCTGTTCAGATCTGTAAAAGGAGATGTGTTCTTGAGCTGTGTTCATGTGATATTCTCTTGGATTTGGATGAACAGAGATCTCCAGCTTTTCAGGGGTTTCACACCTCTCCAAACTCCCTTTTCCAGCTGTGTTTTCACTTGAGTGAGCTTGGGTTTGTGAGTGATGTAATCCAATGAGGAGGGAAGTTAAGCTGTTTACATTTCAACCAGTATCATTAGATACCTTCTGTCTTTTCACCCTGCTGCCCTTGACTTGCATTTGTGATATTTCCATGATCTGCTAATCTGTTCCAGCAAAGTCATCTGCACTCCAAGTGCCAGCACTGAAAAGTTTGCTTTGCTGGCAAGAGCCAATGAAACTGAAGCCTTTGATAATGTCAAATGGCATTTCTAGACTTTCTTCACGTGGAAGTCAAGCTCAAAACCTCATTTACAGAGCTTCTCTGACTGCTTGGAAGGTGCTGTGTCATAAACAGGAAAGTCAATGGCAGTTTCTCAGCCCTATTAGAAAATGTGGGGTAAGGGGGAATAAGCCACTGTCCAAATAAACTTGAGACATTTTATTTTCAGATTTAAAAAGAGAAAACTTGGCCACCTAATCATGGATCTATTCCATGCTGACCTGATTTGTGAAATTATAAAACTGGATGTTTCCCAGCAGAGCCCTCTGCTGCCTGCCCAGTGCTGTTCAGGGACTCAGCTGGGTTAATCCCTGATGCTTTGTCACAGCAACAGGTGCTTTATTCTCCCTCCATGTTCTTACATGTTGTAACAGGAGACACGAGAGGCAGCTCTTCGTTTACTGAGGATCTATTCCTGGGAAGCAGCAATGCTCAAGCTCTTGTTTGTTGTCAGATGGACCTGGCGGGGGCAGACTTGTGTGTGACCTTCATGTTGTGAAAACAGAGAGATGAAGCTGGTTCGAGCCAGGGAATTTGTTTTATGACTTTAATTTGCTTTTCTTTATTTGACTGAGTCCCCGTACTGGCTCTTAAGACCGTTGCTGTTCCTTCCTTGCATTCATCTGGGCTCTGCCAAAATGATCTCTGGTATTCACTTGTGTAATGAGGGCTTTCCATCTGAGCCTCCACAGAGGACAATGAACTCTCAAACCTCTGCTATCACATTACTGAGTGTGGTTTGGAAAACACTCTTGCCCTTGTTTTTATGGTTGTGCTGGTGGTGAACAACCCCCTAATCAAGTACACAGGGCACAAAATTAATTTCATGTGCTTCCACAGGCAGTAGTAAGAGAAATTGTTCTTGCTTTTCTTTAACTTGTTTGTTGTGGGAATAAAAGAAAAGGACCACCTTGTGTTGGAGGAGCAGCCAGCCTTGTTTTGGAGGTTGTGAGGGAGGGACAGGGTTTTATTCCTCTTGCTCTTGGGCTTTTGAGTGTGTCCTCAATTACAGGGGAGTTAGATTAATGAGGAACCATGTTGGGCCTTTGAGGGCAAGGCAGGAGCTTTCAAAAGGGAAAATTTAAAAACAAAGGGAGGAAAAAAAAATTCCAGGGCTTTGAGGGTGACTTGTAGACATTTGGGAAGTTTGTTAAATGATTACTGAAGATGGAGGAACATCTCTGGAGCTCCTGTTAGTGATTCCCCAGAGGAAGAGTTTGAGTTTCATTTCTGAAGCATTTGCTTTTTTAAAATTAACTCACATCCAAGCCTTACCCTGTGGCTAAATAGAAAACTCACTGTTGCACCCCACTGGTTTACTCTCTGACTAGTGAACATTGCCTTGCAGGAATCCAGTAGTTCCTGATTGGGTTCTTTTCCCTAGAAGTAAATAAATAAAAGAGAGAAATAAATAAATAAAATAGAATGAGGGAAGTAAATCTTAAATGTGACAGTTCAATATTTGTTTTCTCCCTGTGTTGCTTAAATAACCCAAACATTAAGGAAATATCTGGACAAGGTGGAGCTGTAGATTACATCAAATTGATAAAACCAAATAAATATTGGGAAAGGAAGATGGCATATTGAGATTAAGCAGGATAATCAAAAGGGGGAGTGGGAGATTGGGTCTGGGGGAGAGGGAGGCAGAAGAGAGAGTGATGGGGAGAGATCCATCATGATCTGGTTTGGCTCATTGGATTCCAAACTGATCAATGAGAGCCTTGGGAAACAAGAAGCCCCAAGGGCTCTGTGTCTTTATGTTTCCCCAAACTCCTCATTTCAGGTGTCTTTGCAGCTTGACCTGAGTTCTGAGTTCTGTGAAATGGGGAGTGAGAGGAGGAGAGAAGGCTGGAGGCTTCATTTCATGTTGCTCTCAGGCAGCTGTTTGCACATTGCTCCGAGAATGAGTCTGTCACCATATCTTATTTACGAGCCATTTCTCACTCCAGCACTGTCTGTTCTCCCCAGTTGCTGTGTTTCTGTGAAGTTTTTCTTTTAAAACAACTAATAAAATGGCTTTTAGCTGCTTCAGAAAGTCAGCCTTATGTTAAAGGCAATGAGAGCTGAGGGGCCTTGAGGCAACTCCACAGTTTCTGTTGCTTCAGCTGCTCCTCGTGTTTTGGGACAGAGGTAGAAAGATGAGCAAATTTTGATGGAATTTCCCTTGGATCCTTTGAATGTTACAGGAAAACAAAGACATGGCTTCCCTGACCAAAGAGGTTTTTGCTTTGGGACTTGCAAAACAAATGGAGGAAGGAGAAAAAGAGCTTTTCCATTGCCAGTGACTGCAGTTTCCCAGCAAATGGGGTCCATTGTCAAGGCACACTAATTCTGCCTTCATTAACAGGTACTGAGGAGAGCTGGGCATGAAAAGAATAAATTGGTGTTGTTTCCACAGTTGGACTGTAGCTGTGTCTGGATTTAATTCTCCTGGCAGGAGGGTTAAATAACATTGGCTGAAGCCACAATAATTAGCCTTTTGCCAGGGCTCTCATAGCAGAACTGCAGCTCCTTCTCCCATCACAGCAGGTAGCTCTCACTTAGGATAGACTCACCTCTGTTATTTTTTTTTTTCTGTCTTGTGTGTAGGGAATAAATTTCAAGCCATCTAACTCTGGAAACTGTGTTCTGGCCAGATATTGAGCTCTGTGTGTGTCCCTGGGATGAAGGGACCTCTTCTCCCACACTGGGATCTCCAGGCTCCCTTTGGACCATGACTGTTATGAATCTATTATTCCTGGCTGACAGGAAAGTCTTCAGCCCCATCCCTGCCATGAGTGAAACCTTTACCTCAGCAGTGGTGTTTTAATCCTGCTGTGCCCTGTGCCAGGGGCCCATTTCCACAAGAAAAGGTTGCTTTAAGTTATAGAACTATTTTTGTTTGTAGTTCTGTTCATGTTCATTTTATCTTCAGTCTTTTCCCTCCATGGGTCCATCTCACCCTCACTATTTGGAGCAAGGTTGTCTTCCTGCCTTTCTGCCACCTTTCTTCACTGCTGTGTGGCATTTCCAAGATGTATCTGAGCAGCATCTTCCAGGGAATATCCCAACTTCCAAACACAAGCCTGGTTGCTTCCTGGCATAGGGAGAGCTCTCTGACTTGGCATCCCACTTGTGCCATGCTGAAGGACAGAAATAGAAATGATTTTTCACAATTGGCAGTTTGTGATGTTCTCAAGTGGTTTGAAAACTCAAGAGTGGGGCATGGGAGGCTCTGTCAGCCTGCATCCTTCACCTGCTCTTCCTTTGTTCATCTCTTCATCCCGTGGATTTGTGTGCTGTGATGGGATGGGGGATCCAGGGGCAGCCACAGCTTCTCTGGGCACCCTCTGCCAGGGCCTGCCCACCCTCTCAGGGAAGAATTTCTCCCTGCATCCCAAGATGATGCACTTGCATTATTTCAGAGTTAGTTCTGATCCTTCTTTGGGAGAAGAAATAACCCATTTCCTCTGGAACTGATGATGATGTGGCTCAGTGTTTGTGCTGTGGGCTCAGGTTTTTAGCTGCTTGTTACTTACATTTTTGGGTTGATTAACATTAAAAAAACCCCAACTTGGTATTTTTTGGACTCATTTTCTGAAATGGTGGAATAGTAATGAAAAGAAAATATCTGCAACATTAAGTTTAATGGGATTTTTTTCCCTATATTTACTGCAGCTGGGGCTCAGCCATCTGTGTTCTATGGATAGCTGTCTCTGCTTCAGGACTGTGTTAGCTTGGGATTGATTCACTTTCAGGATACTGTGGCCTTTGCACATCTATTTTTCTTCATTTTGGGATAAATGGAAAAGAAACAACCATGGGATATTTAAATGACTGATTTTCCCCAGCTGGGTTCTTGATCCTTCTTCCTACACTGGAGTTGCTTGGGGAGTTATTAAGCCTTGGGAGCCATGAGCTGCTTTGTGTACAAATTCCCACCAAAAGACGAGATATTCCAGTGTTTTCTAAGGAGTAGCCAGAAGTTTTACTTCCTCTAAGGAACATCACCAAAAATCATCCTGTTTTGGCAAAGAAATTCCCAGCTCCATGAGGAGGGAGCAATGGGTATTCTCCGAAAGTGTGTTAAGACTTGGGTTTTCTTAAAATACAGCTCCTTTGCTGGAGATCAGAGGGCAAGATACACTGAGAGGTGTCTCTAAGTGTGGAATGTTGAGTTTTTGGGAAAGAGAAGATCCCAAATGAGCACAAAGCCAAGGAAATGTGGCCTTTCTCCTCAGTAAGCTTTTAATGTCTTTCAGAGTGCATTGCTTTTGCTGAGAGTACAGGGCTGTAAAGAGCAATTGAGTGCTGCAAATTGGTCCATTGAATAATTGAAAGTAGTTTAAAATGGCATAATTGGCTCAAAGATGCCTAATCAACCCATCTCATCCCTCAGGGCTTCCCGGGGGCTTTACCCTGCTTGATCCAAGTGGGTTTTTTTCCACGTGGTCAGTGCTGCTGCTTGTTATTTGTTTGCTGGTGGAGGACACTCATCTATCTTCCATTCCTGTGTTTGGCTTCTGCTTTATTTGCTCTCTTTTTGTCCCCAAATATTTGATTGGAAGAAATGAATCAAGAAAAATGTTAATTGCCTTTTGCACTAAATCCCGGGTTAGCTGAAAAAGCAACTTGGCATGGAGAGCTGGTGGAATTATGGATCTAAAAGATCATTTCAACCAGATCTTTCCATATATCTATGTCCAGGTCTGTGTTTATGGATCTTTCCATGTATCTCTAGGAGTTCAGTGGTAGTGCTGTGGGCTTCAGTATCACATTTTCACTCATGTTGGCCTAATGGAAGGGATTAGGTGATTTCTAAGGTCCCTTCCAACCCAAACCATTCCATGCTTCCATGTTAATGATTTGGAGGATCCTCCTGGACGTCTAAAGATAGAAATAAAGCTAAAAAAGAAACTGCAGTTGCCCCGACCAGTTTCTGCCTCATTGCCCAAGGGAAATCAGTCGCAATGAAACAGTCTCTATTTTTAATAATGTAAAAAAGGCTGCTAAGGAGACAGCTCACACAATCAGAGAGAGCTGGGAGTGCAGCAGAGCACTTGGGGAAAACCCAGAGATGGTTTTCCCTTATCAAGACAGGCATCAGGCCATATGAGAACCAAACAGCCCTTTAATGGCTTTGGAAACCACTGCAGAAGGAATATTGGGTTTGTTTGGACGCATCTTAATTAAGGAGGCAGTGGGGAAATTTAGAGATGCTGCAGTTGGAAATGGTAAAATTTGGGGGGCAAAATAAAAGAGGGAGGGAAAGGCTACATTTAACTGGGCAGTCTGGTGTCTGCTGCTTTTGTGGTCTGTAAGTTTGAGGGGTGTAAGTGCAGGAAGAGGAAGGAGGTTGTGCAGGCTGAGGTAATGGGCAAGGCAGGCACAGTGGGATTGGCAGCTCTCAGGGCAGCTCTTCCCACATAAATCCTGGCCAGAAGCATCACAGCCAAGGGGAGAGGCAGAAATCATCTGACCCAGGCCCCATAAATCCAGTCCTGGACACCAGGGGTGTACATCTCTAATGAACATTCCTTCCTGAGCAGGAGTGGGATGAGCTAATTGTCTTGGGTGCCCTCTGGTTCCCCCGGCTCCGGGTCACACTGTTTGGATTGAAGTGTCATTACAGGTAATTGGAGCTGGATGTGTAGATCAAAGGAAGAAACCAGCCATGCCATTTATTAGCTGAAGGAGTGAAGTAATTGAATTTGCCAAATTAAAGCCACCCTTCCCTGTCTTTAGAAAATACTGACCCTGCAGATTTTTGATGCTGACCTGCTCATTTAAATTTTGGAGGTTGTGTTCTCTGGGGCTTTGATATGGTGCTCATGGAAATGTGTTTTTAGAGATGGAAAAGGAGGGAACAAGTGAGTATTTTACTCTGTTCACCAGGTGTCTGCACAAATGGGATGTGGTATTGTATACTTCCTGAAAAAGGTGGGGTGGGGAGCCCCAACCTGTGACAGTTTTTCCAAGGAGAAACAAATTTCCCAATCTTCAAATAAACACCATTATACCCTGGTAGAGAAAATGGAGTAAGAAATGTGTTGACTACTCTTTTTCTAGAACCTTGTAACTAGATGAGGAACCTTGTAACCTCTAGATGAGAACCTTGTAACTTGTCTGATCGTCCTCTCCTCATAGTGGAAACACCATTTCCCTAGTGCCAGATTTTGGGGCTAAAAAGAAGAAAATGCTTCCAGGCTTTCATGCAGTGCTTGCAATTTAGGTGAATAAAATTGCACATGTTCTTGAAATATTTAGGGAGTAGTTGGAAGCTTGTTGCTCTTCAAAAAAATGGGGAATTAATCACTGGAGAGGATGAATGGATACAGAGGAGGTTAATCCCTTAAATTCTCTGTGTCATTGGAGAGATTATGAAGGTGGTGCTGGGGACAGGCTGTTCCCAGGTCAATTAACACCGAGTTAATGAGGGACAGCCAGTGAAGGAGGGAGGCAGGAGGGATGAGCTGTGTGGAGGCACAGCAGGGATGTGGGTGGAAGGGGGGATGACCCACCACGTGGCTGTGGTCACAGGAGAAGCTGCTCCTGCACGTGGTGTCTGGAATTCCAGGCTCGAGTCGTTGGCAGGGAGAAACTGGAAGTGCAGGGATGATAAGAGCAGCACCACGTGTGCTGTGTATATCAAGCAGGTCGTGACAGGCTGTTCCTGCCATCAGCCCCAATGCCTTTATTCATCTATTTTGGGCACAAAGTGTTTGGGAAAAGGGGTCTCATTAACCTGTCTGCTGAACCTTTTCCTGATAAAGTGCTAGTCGTTATTACAGCAAGGAGAAAACACAGTGTAAAAGTTTTGATCTGGAGCTGTAACAAACATCCAAAATCCAGTTCAGTTAATTCCATTTTCATTCCCTTTTGTCTGAGTGATTCCTCTTTGTCTCCCCTTTCCCACCCCCGTTTGGGAAGTGCCTTCCCACAGAAGGGTGGATATTGTATTTGTGGGGGTCCCAGATGAAGGAATTTAATGATGAATCTGACTCCATGTTCTCAGAAGGCTAATTTATTATTTTATTATACCATATTGTATTAAAAAATACAGAAAGGATACTTACAGAAGGCTAAAAAGATAATAATGAAACTCGTGACTCTCTCCAGAGTCCTGACACAGCTTGTCCCTGATTGGCCAAAGAGTGAAAACAACTCAAATGAAACCAATGAAACAATCACCTGTTGGATAAACAATCTCCAAACACATTCCAAAGCAGCAAAACACAGGAGAAGCAAATGAGATAATATTGTTTTCCTTTTTCTCTGAGGTTTCTCAGCTTCCCAGGAGAAAAATCCTGGGCGAAGGGATTTTTCAGAAAATATGAAGGTGACAGGTGGATGCAAAAACTCATTATACCCTGAGCATCCCCTGGAAATACTAAAAGTTTATTGCACAGATGAGGTTAAAGAGGGCTGAACCTCACCAGTGATCTACATTAGAGCTGGGAAATTAAAAAAGCAGCTACGTTTTAACTGATCTCTTAAGATGACAGCCTGAGCATTAGTTATAACCTAGAGGATTCCCTAGAAATCCCAGCAAACACCACAAATCCTGTAGGAGGTGTGTATTTGAAAGTAGCAGAGCATGATAAATCCTCATATATTAACTTAATTTGGAGAAAAATTGTGGCGCTGCGTTGTAGCTTCAAACAGTGATGGGTTACAGAGCCCAAAATGGAAATGTACTGAAATTCTGTGGTGGGATGCAGGAAAAAGAGCGTGGTTGGCTGGGAAGTGATGCTTTTGCAGTTCTGACTAAATGAACCGTGACAGCACAGACTAAATGCAATGAAAAATAAGGTACAGCGGCGTCTCAGCTCATGAGCTCCAGCCCACACCTCTTCTCAGTGTCATGACTGGGCTGGGACAGAGTGGTCATCATTTGTTTAAATTTGTACAAGGAGGCAAGAGCTGAGAACTGCCCAGATTCCAGGGCTGCTCCTCACCCATGGGAAGCAGAGAGAGTGCAGTGCCTGAGGAACATCCTCTGGCCAAACTGGTGTTGGACTGCATGGAACAGGCTGGAGCTCTTGCTGCAGCGTCATTTTCTGTTAACTGTCATTAGAAATACCAGATGGCATCTTGCTTTTCAGCTTTTTCCACCTGTAAATAGAACAAATGTTCCAGAAATATCTCCTCCTTACAACTCCTTGTCAAGACCTTTGGTAAAAGGAGCACCGTGAAGCTCATTGCTAGAGGTTCCTAAGAGCTGCATTTCCTCACTAAAAATGAAAGAATTAGGTGGAATTGGTTTTGGATAAAGTAATTCAGAATTTGTGCTGTTTTTTTATTGAGCTTTTTTATCTTTGTTAACTGGTTTTTGTGTTTTGTTGGGTTTTTCACGTAGCTCCCCAGAGGAATTTTGAAATCGCCTTTAAGATGTTTGATCTGAACGGTGACGGCGAGGTGGACATGGAGGAGTTTGAGCAGGCAAGTTGAACAATCAGTGCTGTGGCATCTTAGCCATAAGCACAGCATTCCTCTGTGATGTTACTGCCTTTTATTTTTGTGCTTGGTGCTGGTTTGCACCTTTCCCTTCTGTGCTCTACTCTGCTGCTTCAGTGCTGCTGTTCATTTCTTTCAACTGGATATGTCAAGAGAAAATTTTTCATTTAACCAGGACAAACTCAGGTTTCCTGTAACTTTGTCACCAACATTCAAGGCCAGGCTGTGTGGGCTTTGGAGCAGCCTGGGACAGTGGAAGGTGTCCCTGCCTGTGGCAGGGGGTGGAACTGGATGAGCTTTAAGGTCCCTTCCAACCCAAACCATTCCGTGATTCCATAACATTTTCCTTACAAAAAGTCACCATCAAGTAGACAAAGACCTTTTTTTCACTCTACTGATAAAGTGGGATTTTGATCCTACTACCTTCACAGCTTCTACTGCATTCCTCAATTTTATCTTCAGAGAATAGCCAAGGTAAGTCTGCTTCAGAGGAGAAATTACCCACTTATTCCAGTGTTATTGAGAGCCTATTTTCATTAGTCCTCTATTTCTTACAAGGCTTCATCAACAGGGACTTTGCTGCAGGTTTTTTAATGAGTTTAGCCTTCATGTCTGATGCTAGTGAGCTCTTCCTATAAGCTGTGATTTATGGTTGTGTATGAGCGAGAATGGATTGAAGGCTCGAGCTGTCAGTGGGGGAAAGATTTGCCCTCCCCAGGCAGAAGAGTGTGATTTTTCTTGCCTATTTCTGGCCTTAAGATATTGGGAACTTATAAACACCCTGAAATCACATCCTGAATCACCAGTGTGTGCTATTCATAAAAGGAAATTTAAATGTATTTCCAAAGTGCTACCTAAGAACAAAGCAGCCCTGGAGAATCCAGGCACAGACTCTTACTCATGAGTTGGCTCAGTGAGTAATTAACTGCAGAAGAGTCTCTACAAGGTCGTGCTTGGGGCACTTGCTATAAATGGGAAGAACCACTGGCAAAGGAGGTCTGTTGAATTACCTTCCCTTTCTAATCTTTTGCTGTCATCCTCCTTAAATTATTACCTGTGTGTATGATGTCATGATCACGAGCTTGCTCCAGAGCCATGGAACATATCTGGGTAAATGCAGGATTTTAGATGCACACTTTGGACTCTGAGGAGACTGGAGTGTGTTGATCTGCAGTCTGACATCACTTCACTTGACAGCTTGAAATGTAAACCTGGGGTTTTGTCCATGTTCCTTCCTTTCCCCAAGTAAAAATCACTGTTCTTCTTTCTGTCTGCGTAGTGCATGGAGATAGCACTCCACTGCAGCTAAGTGATCATATTGAACAGTCCAAAAGGTGATTTATGGTAGTTGCAGTGTTCTAGAATGAAATCAATTATGGAGATAAATGAATTTAAGAAAAGGAGAGAACGATTAACCTCCTAGTAAAAATGCAGTGATGCCAAGGTGCTAACTCAGGTGTCACGTTTGGCTTTTTTATTAGAGCCACGTAAAATGAAAAAGGAACATTTCTACAGGATGAATGTTTCCTAATCGCTCTGAAGATGAGGGTGCAAAATTGAATTCAATTATTTCAAATCATCCCATAGGCCAGGGGGAGTTATGCATGCATTAAGTCACATAAATATCCTTAGGAAGGGGAAGGTATTTTTGTTAAGCTGGTTACCTGTGTCACTGCCTGTATAGAAAGGAATAAAGTTCCTGGTTAGCATCAGAATATTTGGGTGAAGGCTGAGAGAGGATGAAGGAGCTGTTTTGGAAAGTGAGAAGATACCTGTGAAGATACTGATTTGCTGCAAGAACAAACACAGCTCCAGTGGGAGGCACATATATCTCATTATGCAAACATATAACATTACAAACAATTGTTTATATGATAAATCCTCTTTTTCACTCTTTATGGAAATGCCTCAGGAAGAGCCTGAAGGATGGCAAGGTTTGCAGCTCTGTCCTGTAAGTCTTACCTGGCAGGAGCAGCTGGAACTGGCCCTCTCAGGGGATTATGCAGCAGTTTAAAAGAGCAACATCATTTTGGGGAGAATGGGTGGGAAAAGAGGGAGAAGAAAAGGACCATCAGGGAAGCATCATTCCATCCCTGCTGGCTGGGAGCATGTGGGAATGAACTTCCTACTCCTCCCTCACACCTTGTCTTTGGAGGCAGCCAACAGCAGGTCCCTCTTCTCACTGATGTTTGAAGACCTCATCAGGAAAGAAAATTACTTCAGTAATTCAGCTAATATGGGACTTAGCTGGAGGCTTTAACTACCTAATAAAAAAACATTTCATTTCTTCAGGCCTTGCTGAAGAATTTCAGGTTTTTTATCCAGTCGAGGCATGTGGTTAGTGCTTAGTCCTGAATAATGTGGTGCCTGCATCAGTATTGCCTTCAATTCTTCATCCTTTGGCATGTAAATTGTTACTTTACTCCTCTGGTTTTAAAGAAAAGCTGGCTGAAAAGTAGAAAACTTGCATGCAGCTTTACTGCTCAAGTAAAATTTACTCAAAGAGTAATTTCTCTTTGAGTCTTTAACTATTTTAATTTATTTTTTTCCCCTCATCTGGTACAAAAGATGAAACATGACAAACATTTAGGCTGAAATAGGAACAAAAAACAGTGGAGCATCTCAGTCCTTGCACGATTGATGAGCTGTGGGTGAGGGCAGCTCCTTGAAGTGGTGTCTGCCTTTCTGGGCATTGAAATGATTACCCAAAACAGGGACTGGTTAAATCTTTTTGGCTCCAGTGCCCACAGGTGGATTTTCAACCTGTCTAACACTTGTTACAGATGGGAGAGGAAAAGAGAGCCATAGGATTCCATAGAAATAACACCCAGGAAAAGCTGCTCTGTGGAGCAGTCTGCAGTGTGGTAAACACTCATGTAGAAACAGGGGCAGTTTTCCAAGCTGGCCTTAAATTGCCTTGCTTCAGACAGTTTATAAATATTTGTCTCCAAACTGTGCTGCATGCAGAGCTCACAGTTAACAGTGAAGCACAAAGCAAACTAAGGAGTTGCTATTTACAGTGCAAAAATCAGAGAATTCCTAAACAGTTTGGGTTGGAAAGCACCTTAAAGATCATCTCTTTCCAAGCCCCCTGCCATGGGCAGGGACACCTCCCTCTATCCCAGGTTGTTCCAGGTTCTGTCCAGCTTGTTCTTGAGCACTTCCAGGAATGGGGCAGCCACAGCTTCTCTGGGCAACCAGTGCCATGGCCTCACCACCTACACAGAGAAGAATTTCCTACTAATATGTAGTCTAAAGCTCCTCTCTTTCAGTGTAAAGCCATTACCCTTGTAAATAGTCTCTCTCCATGTTTCTTGCAGGCTCCCTTCAGGCACTGGAAGGCCACAATTAGGTCACCCCACATCCTTCCTCACATCAGAGTGACCAAAAAGCCTCAAAACCTCTTTTCTGTACTTTTTTCCTCTTGATTTTTTCCTCCACTTGATTTTCCTTGTAGAGGAAGAACAGCCAGCAGTCTGGTTGGGAGGCAGGGTTTCCAGCAAGGTGAGCCCAACAGCAATAGCATGGAGTTTTCCTCTAGAGCATCCTACTGGGGCTGTTCCAGCACTCACTCTCTCATTAGGAAAAAGTTGAACACACTGAATACCACAATAATGAGGTTCTGGCATCCTTGTGACAGCTGGAGCTCTTGGCAGCTGCTTTTCTTCCTCCCTTCCAACTTGTGTCAGCAGGGGGAAGAGGCTGATGGCAAAGCAGTGGTGTTTGCTGGAGCTTTGGGAAGCCTGGGTTGTCCAGTGGCTTTTTCCCCCCTCCTTTTTCAGACTTGTTCTTAATATGAATCCTTTTGCTGCCTTGTTGGAAGAGGTAAGTTACTGCACAAAGAATAAGCCTGGCTTCTCATATCCCAGCAATAATCACTCAGATCCACTTGGTAGTTTAGTGAGATACTTGAGGATGGAGAGAGGACATGGCTGCATTTAGCTTGGCTGCCCCCTTAAATTTGCACAAAACCCTTAAAATAGCACACTCTTGGATTTTCAGACTGTCACATCCTTCAAGGTCAACCTTTTGGTATCTTTTAGGGAGCAGGGAAGTTCTTTGGAAGAAATTTTTGTGCTGGGTGGCACAGCCCCAGGGATGGAGGAACTTCCAGCTGTGACAGAGAGCAGCAGGCAGCAAGGAGTTGAAAACCCCAGGATTTGTGCATGAGTGGGAGGAAATGTGCTGTGAGCTGACTTGGGTTGGTGTGAACTCACAAGGATGGGCAGTGAAGGAGTGGAAGCTCTAAAACATTTGAAGAGTTTTTTCCTTCCCCATGATCCTTGGATGTGTTTAAAAAAAAAAAAAATGGATGTGGCACTTGGTGCCAGGGTTTAGTTGAGGTGTTGGGGCTGGGTTGGACTCAACGATCTTGAAGATCTTTTCCAACCTGGTCATTCTGTGAATTCTGTGATTGTTGCAGCTTCCCCACCTCCTGGGATTTTGCTGGGAAGAAGCTGCTCTGCTGACCAGGGGTAGGATCAGCACAGAATGTTTATCTGAAAACTGGCTGAATTGTTTCCTAAAACTCATTGTAAGCACTTGGTTCTCTTCTTTCTTTAATGGACTGAAAAAGCCAAAACCTAGCCTGGCCAGGGAGGTTGTGGACTCCTCATCCTTATTCCAAGGCCAGGCTGGACAGGACTTGGAGCAAGCTGGTCTAGTGGAAAGTGCCCCTGCCCGTGGAAGGGTTTTGGATCTAGATGGTCTTTAAGGTCACTTCCAGCCTGAATCATTCTGTGATTCTCTTAAGTTCAGCCAGATTTTTGAATTGTGTCTCCTGACAATTGTTTGAGGAGGAAAAGAAAGAAAGATTGTGGAAACCCAGGGCACCGGCAATATTTCTCTGTCTGCTCTGGGGTGCCCTGACCCCCAGGGGAGCTCTGACTTTGACCCTCATTCATGGAGAAAAAGTTTCCTAGACTTCAAGATAGACTAGAATCCATAAAAGTGTGAAATAGATTATAGAGAGTAGTGTAGGTGGATCACTTGGTGAGAAATTTAGGTTTTGGGATTTTTAGTGTGTTGTGGATGGAAGCAAGATGGAGGGCACAGGGTGCTGTCCTGGGTTTCTTCTTCATGCTTCTTCTTCCTTCTTCTTCATGGGTTTGGGTGGCATTTTGTGATGGGGCAGAAAAGTCCACATTGGGGCTCTTTGGGATCAGTTTTTGGGTTAAAAGGGAAAATAATCCAGGTGTCAGTTCTCAATTGGATTGTTTAGTCTTAAAAGACCTTGTACAAAGAGATTGTGGCCATTTTGTGCCTTCTAATGAAAAGCTGCTGAACTCACAGCAGTGAGACTGCTTTACTGGTAAGAAATAACAAACACCTGAGTCTGGACATGAACTACTGTCTGGAGTGCCTTCACTCCAGACCCAGAGAAACCAACAATGGTACCCCCACAAAGATGACAGAGGCCTTGACTGGTATGGTCTTGATTGTGCCGTGCTCCCTGTGGTTTTAGGTGCAGAGCATCATCCGCTCCCAGACCAGCATGGGCATGCGCCACCGGGACCGCTCCACCACCGGCAACACCCTCAAAACCGGCTTCAACTCTGCCCTCACCACCTACTTCTTCGGGGCTGACCTGAAGGGAAAGCTCACCATCTCCCACTTCCTGGACTTCCAGCGCAAGCTGCAGCACGACATTCTGAAGCTTGAGGTTTGGGCTGCTTCTTTGTCCAGGGGAGGGCAGTGCAGCATGGCTTGTGCTTAGGGTGGGGCTTCTGGAGGAGGAACGAGAGCCTGGGAAGGGTACAGAGGAAACTTCTGCAGCTGTGACTTGCACACCCAAGCTGTTAAATTCCTGATGAGTATTTCAGTGCTTGTGGCACTCCCCAAGGAATGTCTCCAGCATTTGTTGGTGGCTGCTCTTGTGGAGTTGGAGCAGCAGCTGGCACATCCTGGGTGTGTGTCCCTCTAAAAGCCTGACTGTTGCCTTGGCTCTGCTGATGGAGATGATTTAAGGGGAAAACAGCAGAGGTTGTGAGTGACCTGTTGCTACCTTGCTGAGGAAGGTTGGTCTCAGTCCTAATCAGTGAGCTGGGCTCTAAAGGACCAGGATTTATAACATTCCCAAAACTCTTCAGCTCTGCTTTTGTCCCTACCTTTTCTGTTTGCTTCATTATTCTGAATGTTTCTGCTGGGGAAGTGTTCAAGGCTTGTTTGAATCCTCCTAAATCGGTGGTCTCTATTATGTGACCTCTGTTGTTCACTCCTGGATGTTTAATGAGAAATGTTGTCCATCTCTTCTGAATTTAGTCTCCTTTTTACTTTACATTACCCTGAGTTTTAACAGCAGCTCCCAGCCTCCTGCTCCTAGTCATATAACCTGAATTTAAGCATCACCCTTCAAAATTTGGTTATTTTGTTTAAAATCAGCAGAAGGACAGCAACAGGGGACTTCTTGGTCTGTGTCAGCTTCCAGGGAGAGCTGACTCAGTTGGAAATGGTGCCCATCACTGCATCAGGCTCCAAGGTTCAACCTGGCTTGAGCAAAGCCAGGCTTTTATTTGCATTGGAAATCAGGATTTGTGCACAAGATGTCCCCCAGCCTATTAGGAAAACAGTATTCAGAGCCCTGTCACTTCAGTCTGGTGTATTATTGCTCACATGCCCAGGTTGTGTGATCAGCATTTTATTAAGTTCTTATCATGTCAGTCATTGTAATTTGAAACTGAATTTATTTCCTTTTTAATTTGGAATTTACCAATCCAAGTAAGAAACTGATCCGGGGACTGATTATTTTATTTTGTGAAGACAATTGCCTGGTTCACTGCCTTCATTTCCTGGCCATTAAAGCAGGTGGTGTGGCCTTTGCAGGGGGAATTGGCTGCTTGAAGACAATGTTCTTTGTGAACTGGGTCAGTTCCTCAGTGCCTCTGCAAATTGAAAGGCATAAAATACTTTTTAAGGTGAAGAAACATCAGGTGTAACTTGAATGTAAAGGCAAGAGAAGCAGAGATTTTTCCATGCCCTGGTTTTCCCCTGCCCTGTTCACTCCAGAGGTGGGCACTGAAGTATTCCTGACCCTGTGCTCCCTCCACGGGTCCCCACTTCCCTCATTAAGAAGCAATGGGAATTTTTTTTTCAGTTTCATGATACTTGTGCTTTTTCTGCTGTGACAGTTTAGATTTTGATGATTTCAGTCACTTGTGCATCTTCCTGGCTAATAGTAGTTGCTTTTCTAACAGATTATTTATAACTGGAGACAATAAAAGATATTTGTGTCTGGGTAAGTTATCAGATAGCATAAAGGCACCATTACTGACTCCCTGCCAGCACCAGGCTCATACTCATTTCCACTGAAATATTGATGGTTTTGTTCTGCCAAACTTAACTTTTCCTTGAGTTCATGCTACTAAAGCCCTGATTTTCCTGTTCATAACTCTCATTGATTTAGGCAAAACAGGCCTGTTTCTGTCCCCAGCATTATGCAAGGTGGCTTCTCTCCTCTTCAGCTTTTATCTCTTTTGACTTCATCTCCCATTTTTTCTCCTTGCTTCACATTTGATGTGTTTGTTCACACTTAAGGAGCTTTTCCCACCACTGTCTGGTGGGTTTGTGTTGTTCCTTTCCCAGGGAGTGCCCTAATGACCTCAGCTGCTTGAAATGCACAGTAATTCAGAGATGAGATTCTCCTGAGAAGAGAAGGGTTTACCCTGACCCATGTAAATCAGGAAAATGTGAGAAGTGGTGCTCAGCTGAACTCTTTTCCCTCATCTACTCATCCTCTGCTGGCTCAGGAAAACTGGAGCATGGTCTGAAGCTGGGATGTTGGTTTGAAACTCAGTTTTTGTTCATGTTCAGAGCTCTGGAGAAGTCCTTGGGGAAATGCAGGTCTGAAGAATCTCCTGGGGCTGGTGCAGCCCCTGAGTGACCCAGAGCCTCTGTTCTCCAACTGGGATGCTGGCTTTGTCTCATCTGAAAGAAAGCTGCTTTAAGAAAGAACTTTTTTTAAAGCTTTTTTCCCTTCAGCTCGGGATCCAGGCATTTCTGCAGTTCATACACTTGAGCTGTTTTCTGCTGACTGAAGGTGGAACAATAGTTTCTGACCATCTGAACCCACTTTATCTTTCCTCTTACTGATTTTGGTTCTTTTCTTTTTTAAATCAAAATATCCGTGCATATTTCTTGCTAAGATTCAGCAGAAGCTCTCACAGAGGAATTAACTCAGACAAAGCCCTGAACATTTCAATGTTCCTGTGGCTGAAGTGTTTATAGCAGGTTTAAGTAACCATGGCCTGGTGTTTTCTTCTTCTCTTCTGCTTTTATTTCTTTTTTTTTTTTTTTTTATGCAAGTATATTTTCCATCATTTTATGAAGACTCAGCAGTCAACTCAGCTGCAGGAAGGGAAGGATGAGGAAAGCAACCACAGCCAGAGGTAGAGAGGGGAAAAAAGTCCCAGTGGTTGGATGATCCCACTGGTGTCAATGTGTTATTTCAACCTTTTGGGGTTTGGCTACTTGGAGAAAGCTGTGGTCAGTTTTTTGGGTTATGGGGTGGCCCTGCTTAGCTAAGACTGAGCCACAGGAACCAGCCCAGCAAATGGGGCTGCTGGCAAGGTCCTACAACCAGAAGTCCTTTTCTCTTGTGGCTTGCTTTGACAAACAGTGACTGGTTTGTCTGGACAGGCTCTGCAGCTCTCACATGTGCCCTTGGGACAGGTGGTGTTGGGCTCTTTTTCTGGTTTTTGAGTGGAAGATCTCTGTGAGTCTGGAAGATGAATAGGACTTGACATCATTGTTTATGCTATTTCTGCTTGTTTGTGCCTGTCCCAGATATTTCTGTGTCCTTGGTGGACCAAAAGGAGTCCCAGCCAGCCTGTGGGGCTCTTCCAGCCTAAATTTTTTTAGGATTCTGGAAGTGCACATAGAAGAGATGTGTGAGCCCTTTGTTCTCCATGTCTTTGCCACTCCTGCAAGGCACCCCAAAACGTGCTGATAGCACTGATTTAATCTCCATATTTTTCCTCTTACCCAAGGATTAAGTATGCCCCAATGTCTCTCCCAAGAAAAAGGTCTTGCAAGCAAAGTAAAATTGGATTCTGTAAGAATATGGCAAAGTTACAAGACATCACTGCTGTCATCTGGAAAAGTCTTTATTTTCTGTGTCTGTTCTGTGACAGGTGATGTGGGAGTAACCTCTTTATCCTGGAGACTCCTGTTTTCATGGCCAGTGCCAATACAGTTACTGCCTGGTTTGGTTTTTTTGAAGAAGGGGTGCTGGATGCTCTTCCATCTGCACACACCTCATCAGAAAGCCCTAAATCCTTTGGGGTCTCAGGCCTGTCTTAACAAATACTCTGGTTTCAGAAGGCATTTCTGATGCTCCTCAGTTGGGTTTTATGGTAATAACTTCAATCTCTAAGTGCCTTTCTTAGTCCCAGTGTTGGAATAGTCCCACTTTTTCCAAGTAATCCTGTAGCAGGTATTAAAAACTTCTCATTTATTACCAACTTACTCAAGATTTTTGGGGATTCTGCCTTGGTTTTTATATAGGCTGGCAGAGCAATACAGCTTTTCAGTGATTTGTTAACAGTAACAAAGCTTGCAGTAGTGAGTCACATATCTTTATTTCTGCTGCAGTCATTTAGGGGGAAAATGAGTAACTTAAGTAAATTGAGTAGCCTGAAAAATGAAGTTTGACAGTGTCAGATTGGCTGAGCTTTGTAAGGAAGGGCCCAAAACTCAGACTTTTTAGAGGTCAGTTTGCTGTTGAACTCACACAAGGCATTTCTGTTTGGTTTTAAGTCACCTTTATGGCTGTCCCTGTCATGATCAGCTGTGTTGTCTCTCAAAGTTGTTCCTTTACCTCCTGATCCTCTCACTTCAGCCTCACCACTGACCCAGCCCCTGTGGGAACAATGATGGGGAATGTCATGTTTTCCCTTTTTCCTTATGAATTCTGCCTTTTCAGCAATCCTGTAATGGATGTTTTGTACTTCCAGTTTTGTCAGTTCTGTATCTATATCCTGGATATCTAAAACTCCTGCTTTAGCTCCAGATTTGCTTTCTCTTCCTTCATCTGATCCTTACATCTGAAAAGCCAAACCAGCACTAGTGGAATTGCCTCTTCAGTAGGGCAATTAATGACAGGTACAAAAGTTGTTTGTGTTCTTTGTTAGTGATTTCCTGAGCTGGCTGCAGGGGAGGGAGAGGAGGATGGGCTGATGGCTAAATACAGAAAGCCTGAAGTGTGCCCCTTGTTTATCCCAGAGGATGAGTGTCTGTGTCACTGTTGTCAGGCCCTGACTAGATAAAAGGTGTGTTGATAACTAATAACCTTTAAACAGCTCTGGAGGAAAAGAGGATCTGGATGTGGAGGCTGTGCCCTCCAGAAGTATTTACTAAAGTCAGAGATGGACAAAGCCATGATGGATTTAGTGCCAAAGAGAGGGGAGTGACCAGGAGACCCTGCAGACCTACATATTCCTTCTGCATTTCTCATGGTAGGAGTTGAGGGAGCAGAAGTGAGGCTGATGTCCCTGCCTTTGATGGATAGCCATGAAAGTGTGGTGGATGGCAGAATTTTGTGACATGTCCAGTTAAAAGTGGGATCATCCAACCAGTGTGAATAGTTTCACATCAGGGACCTCTGTAGTTAGGGAGGCACAGTCCAGCATACACAGATGTGTTTCTAGGCAGACAGTGGAAGTGATT